GAAAGGATGGGGAAATGTAAATCATACATGTTCACTACTATTTATTCCCTTTCCACACATGGGTGACATGGTGATGAGCCTTAAACAAAGCCAGATAAATGGATTCAGTCCTGCCCATTAGTATGAAACAGATAACATAAGGAGATTTTATTGTATTAAGTACATACCATTCCACAGATAAAATATTTTCAACTAACATGTTAATCAAGAGAAAATATTAATTTCTTAAAGTTGTAAATTATAAACATGATTTGTATTCTTTAACCAGGCGGAAGTAAAATGGTTAAACAAAAGTTTAATTAAGATAAAAAAAATCAGCAACTATAAAAATTATAAAGTTACAACAAAAATGCCTTTAAATTTACATTATGGATAATCAAAAGGAAGTACTCTGTAGGTAATATATAGATACACTTACGCCAACCTTAATTTGCCAAAGTCTAAATTAATAAAGCTGAGCTACTGTAGAACTTAGTAAAATTTTTAACACAGCAAAGACTCAAAAGGATTTACCTGAAGAACAAAAATAATGCCAGAGAAGAAGAAAATATAATAGTCAATGTAAGGGTTGAAATAGAGGATATCTGATCCAGCAGTGGCAAGCATAGTATATTTTTGAAAAAGAAAGATAACATGAAAAAGTGAAAAACTTCAAACTGAATTCTGTTTGGTGATCCTCAAGTGAGCTCATAATTAACTTTGGGAATGATGAATAGTATATTCTTACTAGAGGCCCAATGCATGAAATTCATGCACAGCGCTGTCCCTAGACCTGGCCTGCGATTGAAGTGCGAGCGTCTGGCATGGAAGGGCAGGTCCCAGCTGACCTCTGGGCCCTTGGCAGCACCTCGGCCCTTGGCCCCCCGCACGCCCCCATCCACCTGAGTCATGGTGCCCGAGTCCCCATGCAGAGATGCGGTGAGCACAGCTGGACAGCAGCATGGGTGCAGATGGGCTGGGGTGCAGCATGGGCCTCTGGGCCGCCCAGCACACCACATGGAAGCTGGGTGGGCAGCGCATTCTCTCCTGGCTGGCCTTGCAGACCGGCTCCTGCACAAACCCACGGAGAGCCCGACCAGCCCCCGTGGTCCCGGAGGCTGCAGCCTGGCTCACCTGGAAGAGGCCGTGCAGGTGTGGGGTGGGCTCCTTACAGGCACCTGGCACCTGAGCATGGGGGCTTCTCTGGCACGCGAGCCCTGGCATCCAGGGAGAAGATAGCAGGGGAGTGAGAGAGAGCTCGGCAGACATCCCGCATTCTCACCACACCTCCGTCCCTGTCACCCCTGCTCCCAGGTAGCCAGCGAGAGATTGCAGGCCCCTGCCTGGGTATCACGGGAGGTTGGTCACCGCCACCCACCCTCAGTTCCCTGTCTCAGCCCAGGGCCCAGCCCCAATCAGGCAATCTGGGTCTGCTGGCCGCTGGTTGCCATCTGCGGGGTGATTGATCGGGTCTGGGCCCCCACCTCCCCGCCGCCACTGGTCACTGTCTGCGGGGTGATTGGCGGGATGATCAGGGCCCTGCTCGCACCAGCTGTGGCCTGGCGCCGACCGCTCATCTGCTCCACCATCCCACCGCAGTCCCACTCTCGCCGGGGCCCATTGGGGCCAGCAGCACTTCCACTACCGCCCGCTGCCAGCACTGCGAATTTGCATATTAGGCTTTTATTATATAGGATTTCCTTAGAAAAAATGTAGTCTAATTGTAAAATGGGCATGATTGAAAAGGAATAATTTAAAAAAACATTTTACAATTCTACATTGTAGGTACTATAGGACATATAAAAATACCCTGATTGGTAGAAAAGCATAAAAACAGACTATAACCCGCTAAGTGTTTAAATTACTGCTCTTCTGATTAGATATCAGGCACTAACACATCAGAAGATGTATTTTACATACCTCAAGGGTATTACTTAATGCCTCAGACATAACTTACCACTTAGTAAGTTTTATTAAAGGTAGAGAGATCTATTTAGGTATAAAATTGTAGGATAAGTAAATACTCTTTAGAACACGATGATTCTTAAAAAAAATTACTAATGTAACTCTAACATTTAAAATTGATACTCATAATGTTCATGGTTTGTCTTCCTATAAGCTGGCCTTTTCTTTGTTGTCTCAGTCAGTAAGCCACTGCATATTGTGACAGGCCTGGGTATTAGAATCTCCTTTCTTTTCAATCTTTATCATAGTTCTAAAACCATCTGGGCCTCTATGCTAGATTTACCTCTCCACATGGGACTCTTCATATGGCCAGCCCATCATGCCAATATCTGTCTTTCTGGCTGCTTCACCACTATCCCCAACATAGAAGAAAATGTTCATTTATCTCCAATATATAAGAATATGTTTAAACATATACAAACAAAAATATATAATTTTTCCTGAAATTATTTCCTTCTTCATCTTTTAAAATACTGATAAAAATTATATTCACATTATGCTTGTAATTAAGATCAAATTTTATAAATAATTTAGCCACTTTCCATTTCCCCAAATTTTACAATTTACTATCTTTTTCCATGTCTTTCCCAGCAACAGAGCTATGTAAAATGTATCCTGTTGGGGGGAGGGGATCAATCAGGGGAAAAAGGAGACATATGTAATACTTTAAACAATAAATAAATAAATAAATAAATAAATAAATAAATAAATAAAATGTATCCTGTTTACTGCATGTCATCTCTGGGCTAGGAGAATGCCAGTGCTAAGACATGTTATTTCTTTCTTCCACTAAATTCTATTATAATTCAAATTTTCCCAAATCTTTAAGGTACTGGTATGCATGATCACTGTACAATGACATGCGTATCCTGCTGGTATGAATGTGTTTAAGGACAAAGGGCAAAGCAAGCATATTATGAACCAGTACCTGCTAGTCCACAGATTATATAAAGGCAGATAGCATGAGGGAATTTTGTGCTAAGATGGCATTGTTTATCTTGGACTGATTACTCTTGTGATTCAAGTAAATGTTTAAACTAGTAAATGTTAAAACTAAACTGAATTAAATTTTCCTTGTTGCCAAAGTTAAGCATATTCATTTCCAGTTCAACTTAGCTTATACATTTTTAGTGCATATTACAAAATTTACATATTTTCATTGTTATTAAAGTGGATAGTATTATAAGTAACTACAACACTTTGAAAATGTAAACCTATTACAATGTTGAGATAAAAAGAGAGTAAATGAGAAAGAAATAATGCCTTACTTCCAGGCTTATACAAAGATGATTATAACAGTTATTTTCTTCATTAATTAATTTTATAATTATTATTGACCATTTGTATGTGCATTAATGTTTTCTAAAATATATAATTTACTACTTAAGAGCATATAAAAATAACAATAAAATTATTAATTCCAAATTCACTTAGTAATTGCTTTTCCTTTTGTTTCCTGTACTTCTCACTATAAAATAAAGGTGCTTAAGTATATGTTAAATAAAAGATTTGTTCTTAATATTAAGAAAGCAGGGACAGATCCAAAAAAAGAAATAGGTAATGACATTTTCATCATTCCCCATGAAACTGTGTCATCTTGTTTAAGCACTAAGCTAACAGGATAAAGAAGTTATCATAAAGAGATTCCACGGTATTCTAATGTCATGACTATTGTAGAAAAACCTTATTATCATGTCTTCAGAGTTTCAGCACTAAATGATAAATATCCTGGCTAGTAACCTATATGAGATGTTTCCCCTCACATTCATCACCCAGAGGTACTACACTGCTTGTTTACTTTTCCTAATGCCCTGTGACCTCGTTTTAACATTCAGTATCATATGACATAAATGCCCATTATATCTGTCATGGCTAAAGAATCATTGTTGTTTTTCCCCACTCCTCATCAATTTAGTTTTACCCCGGAGTATTAAATATAATTAGACATAGAATATAATTTTTAAAAGACAAGAAACAAACCATTTTTATAGAGTAACACAATTATAATAAATAGCTAGATAAACTAATTTGGAAGAGGTGGAAAATTTCATTAAGGATCAAGAAGATTATATTCTTTTTCTTATGAACACCCAATTCTGATTTAGTATCACCATAAGTAGGTCATGACCTCTCAAGACTTATTTTCTTATCTGTAAAATTGAGTTGCTACAAAACCAGGTTTAATTTTACTTAGGCAGTTAAGATCTTCCTTGATTGAATTTGAACTCCTATTTTGGAGTCTTATCTTTAATTACTATCATTTTCATACTTTATTCTGGATAATTTAATGTAATGAAACATGCCTGGCTGTTTCAACCCTGTGCAATACATTGTGACTGAAAAGTCTGAATATTCATTTATTTCTTTATAAAACATACACATTAGTTAATGCTTCACTCAAAATATTCTTAAATATTGCTTTATATTAATATTATAATTACTAAAAATTGCTATGAGCTCACAAACTAGACTATAGTTCCCCAGGGCTGAGACTGACCCTTACATACTAGTATCTTTGTATTCTACACAGAGTGTAGCAAGTGGTCTACTGTGTGTCATATCACAGAATATTTGTTACAGATGTATTAATGTGGATGGAAGAAGGTATATTCCCTAAATGACATATTCATTGAACTACCAGCTAGCTAACAAACATAACAATCTATGTATTAAATGAATTGCTAGAGGTTAGGCACTTAATCTCTTAATAAGTTTTCAGTCTGAAAAGTCATTATCTCATTTAATTATCACTCTTTGATAGTTTAATATTATAATACAAATCAATTGAATTGCTACATTAGTAAAAAAAAGAAAATTCATATGACCATATGATAAATAAAGATAAAGCAAATTATAAAAGTATATACCTATTCAGAATAAAACCTTTTAACAAATTAGGATGGGAAGAAAAGGGGACTTCCTTTTATTTGATAAAGAATATCTACAGCATAAGCCGGTTTGGCTCGGTGGATGGAGCGTCGGCCTGCTGACTGAAGGGTCCCAGGTTCGATTCTGGTCAAGGGCATGTACATTGGTTTCAGGCATATACCCAGTAGGGGGTGTGCAGGAGGCAGCTGATCAATGTTTCTCTCTCATCGATGTTTCTGACTCTCTATTCCTCTCCCTTCCTCTCTATAAAAAATCAATAAAATATATTAAAAAAAAAAAAGAATATCTACAAAAAACAAAAAAGACAACTCTATGGCAAGTATTACAATTATGGCAAAATATTTACAACTTTCCCCTTGCCATTATTGCTATTACACTTCAATTTAACATTGTATTGGAGCTCCTATTCATTACAGTAAAGGAAAAATAAAATGAACAAAAAGAGGTATGCAAACTGAAAAAGAAGCAAAACTGTCAGTATTTGGGATGGCTTGATTGTACTCACAGGAAATCTAATACATATGCAAACTATAATAATAAGTGAATTTAGCAAGGTTATTGGATAAAGGTCTATGCAAAGAAACAACCATTTTCTATATATCTGTCTCAATCTCATAGTTAAATTTTGAAAATGATACTACTTACAGCAGTTTCACAAAAACATGGAATACCTACGAATAATTTCTATGAAAGATGTACAACACTTCCACACTGTAAACTACAAATTACTACTGAGAAATTAAAGATCTACATAAGTAAAGTCATATTTCATTTAAATTACTGTATTTTAAAGATGTTAATTCTCCAACTTTTTCTATAGAATCAATGCAATCCTAATCAAATTTCCAACACTTATTTATTTTTCCAGAAATGCGCAAGCTGATTCAACAAATTAACATGGAAATGCAAAGGTCAAAGTAGCCAAGTCAATTCTTGAGAGCCATAAAGCTGAAGAGTTTACTTTACAGGTATCAAGACCAATTTATCCAGCAATAGCAATTAAGACAGTGTGGGCTTGGTGCAAGAACCGACAAGCTGATGAAAAGAACTTAAGAGAAAGTCCAGAAATGCCAGAGACAGACCCAGAACAGGCATCCTAGTACAGTGGGAAAGAAATTATTTTTTTCAATAAATAGTGCTGAGTCAAATGAATATCCAGATGATAAAATTTAATCTTGACTTCTACCACTTGCCATACACAATTCCAGATGGAATTTAAGTCTGACTGTAAAAGGCAAATCAATAAAGCTTTTAGAAAACAAACAAACAAAAAACCTAGGAGAACATCTTTGTATCCGTGTGATGTTTGAATAGACAAAGATATCTTACATAAGAAACAAAAATCATTAACCATCAAAGAATAAAATTGGTAATTTGGACTAGAAATAAGGAAGCAGAAGAGAGATCCAGAATATTTGATGAAGTCTTACAAATCAATTAGAATAAAAGGCAAGGCACTAGATCAATGGGCAAAAGACTTATAGACATTTGACAAAAGAGAATAGTTAAATCTTTATTGGTTATTATAAAAGATACTCAACTTGTCAATAATATTATAATAACTATGTATGGTGTCACATAGGTACTAGACTCATTGGGGTAATAACTTCATAAGGTATATAAATATCTAATCACTATATGACATTAATATAATATTGTATGCCAGCTGTAACTGAAAAATAAATTTAAAAAATAATAAAGTTAATATGATTTACCCTAAAAAAATGTACTCGACTTCATTAGTGATCAGGAAAGTGAAGATTAAAACTATAATGGAATAGAAAAAAAATCCAAGTATCCAGAGGATGCAAAACAACTGAACACTTTAGAAAACTGTTAAGCATTAGAGCTAAACATAAGCCTACACTATGATTTAGCAATTCCAATCCAGATATATGCCTAACAGAAAGATATTTATTTGTTCAATGAAAAAAAACACAAACCAAGATCAAACATGTACTCAAATGTTCATAGCCACACTATTCATAATAGTCAAAATCAGTATAATAAAAAATAAATTTGGGTATATTCACAAAATGGACTACTACATAGCAATGAGAATAAATAATCTAAAACTATGTGCAACAATATGAATGAACTCACAAATTTTAAATTGAGTAAAATTAACCAGACAAAAGAGTTCATACTATATGATTCCAATTACATAAATACAAAAGTAGGTTAAAAAATGAGTTCTTTTCTCTGGTCAGTGTTGATCAATGATTAGAGCGTCGGTCTGCTCACCAAAGGGTTCAGTGTTGGATTCTCGGTCAAGGGCAGATACCTGGGTTGCAGGTTCCATCCCCAGCCTGGGTTGGGATGTGTGCAGGATGCAACTAATCTATGTTTCTCTCTCACATAGATGTTTCTCTTTCTCTGTCTCTCTTCCTCCCTCCCATTCTCTCTAAAAATCAATGGAAAAACATCCTTGGGTGAGGATTAACAACAACAACAACAAGCTCTTTGAATTTAGAATAGTGGTTACCTTGTGGGGGTGGATGGAGTATACAAGGGGAGCTTGTAAGGAGCTGGTAATGTCTGTTTCTTTGTTTAGGATGGGTGGGGAACGTCTGGCCTGAGAGCCACATAGGGCCCTCAAAATACTGCAGGCAGGACTCAGCTTTTTTCATAGCAATATAAATTTATATTAAGTGAATTATATTAAGCGAATGATGTTATAAATATCCAAATGGCCCTTGGCAGAAAAAAGGTTCCCCACCTGTGATCTAGGGTAATAACTGCACAGTTATTTCCAGTTTTTGAAAATTCATTGAGATGTCTTATTAGGATATATGAAATTTTCTGGATACCATCATGCCTCTTTAACTCCTTTCACTTGGTAATCTATGAGCCATTTTGATGCTTATTTAAAATTAAAATCTAGTACTTTGATTTACTTATCAAATAAAATCTACTCAAGACTCAAGAACCTGACTTTATTTGCATTCTTTACCAACACAGGAAGCTAACTTTATAAACAAAAGATGTTAAGTGGCCAGCCAATGTCATGATATAGTTTACATATACAAGGATATCTTCAAAATATGTTTAAAATGGCCAATGTAGTTTCTGGAATTTGACCACAGACATTCATTCCTAAGAGCTAGGAACCATTCTATATTTTATTCTATCTTCTAATCCTAAAGGTACACTGCAATCAGAATAACTATGATGGTTCTTTGAAAAGATACTATGATCAGACTCTATCTCCTCTGAGCTGATAGCTTAAAATGATTAGTGAAGAGCTTGTAAAACCAGAATAAGAATAAGAAATTTCAATGAAAATAACAATATCAGTGCTTTTGTTTTGGGCAGGGAGTGAGTTTGTGTACTTGTGTGTGGGGGAAGCCACCACTTGCCAATACTATCCTGAGAGTGCACCAAGGAACGTGGAAGGCTGATGAACCTTGAGCGTTAGCAGGGCTGATGCTAAGCACTGATTGTTCGTGTTGAGATAGTGGTGGCTCGAAGCAATTTCCTGACCTGAGAGCCTCCAAGTAAATGTTTACTGGACCTTAATTTTTACTGATCTTTATTGATGTTAGAGATGGTCTGTCTACTACCTGTTTGCCATGCTTTACTGAGGGTAAGATGTGTATCTAAAACTGAATAAAAAGCGGATAAGGCCAGGTTTCAGTGTATCCCTTCAAGAAAGAGGCTCCACCTGGCCCCCGCCCCTTAATAATTCATATTTGTGTCTAGTATTTTCATTTGTGCGTCGGCCCCTCCTTCAGATCCTGAACCAAGCCGTGCAGGTCGCAGCATTTGTGCATTTTTTTTGACTGAATTATTTGGTTTGATTGGATAAATGGAAGACAAGTATATAATGTACTGGTAGGAATATACTGGTAGAAAGTATCAGAATGTATGGTGAAGTTACTGTGCAGGCAGGAGTCATATGGCCTCCAAAATGATATTTATGGTAAAGCACTGAGCCCCCCCCCCCCTCAAAAAAAATCAAAAACCACCAAAAAACAATTTAAAACCAGAAACAACTGGAAGGCTAAATATCTGGGAAAGATAGGTAAAGATCACTGGTAGTGTGGTAAGCAGGTAGAGTGACCAGCGGTTCTCAATCTGTGGGTCTCGACCCCTTTGGCGGTCGAACGACCCTTTCACAGGGGTCGCCTAAGACCATCCTGCATATCAGATATTTACATTACAATTCATAACAGTAGCAACATTACAGTCATGAAGTAGCAATGAAAATAATTTTATGTTTGGGTCATAACATGAGGAACTGTATTTAAAGGACCAGAAGGTTGAGAACCACTGAGTTAGACAGACATAAGCAGAGAAAGGTACAGACATGGGCCAGGTACAGAAGGGCACCAGGGAGGAAAGCTCCAGGTGCCTAGCAATGGGCAATTGTAGAGTGGAACCTTGTCCCCAGGATGACTTTCCTCCCCTAGCATATCGCTAGTCATGCAGTTTGGACCCCCTGACCTTTCCTCCCTAGAGATAACATCTATGCCTCAGTTGTATTTCAGCTCCAGGCCCAGATAAGCAACAAAACCAGCTACAGCTGATCTCAGGACCAGCTGCACTGAATAATGACCCCCTGCCCCGTGGATGCCCACCAATCAATCATGGAGACCACACCCTGAAAGGACACACCTGGAAAGCTGCTGAATATTCTACTGAGATCTTCCCCTGGGACCTCCCCTAAAATCTCCACCCTTGAAACCCTTAGGATGGAGGACCCAACAAGCTCTCTTTTGGAAACTTGCTGGTGCCTTTTCCCTCCCCTCTGCCCACTTCCCCCAGGCACATTACCATTACCTTTCTCACTCCCAAGCTCCTAGTGGCCTTCATTTAACTCAGTGGTTCTCAACCTGTGGGTCGCGACCCCCTTAGGGGTCAAACGACCCTTTCACAGGGATCGCCTAAGACCATCGGAAAACACATATATAATTACATGTTGTTTTGTGATTAATCACTATGCTTTAATTATGTTCAATTTGTAACAATGAAATTGGGGGTCACCACAACATGAGGAACTGTATTAAAGGGTCGCAGCATTAAGAAGGTTGAGAATCACTGATATAACTTGTTTCCTTCTATAATTTACTTCCTCAGCCCATTCCTTCTGTGAATTACTTCTTCCTCCTCTGTGATTTTATAAATAAATATTCTCTTACAGTTTGAGTGCTGGCTCTGAATTCTTTCCTAGCCAGAACTCAAGTTGCTGAACCAGATTGCTGAACCCATGTCAGGTCTGACCCCACTGATCTAACAACCCCTGTCTTTCCCACCACCTACAACAGGATCTGAGCTAGAGGTTTATTCATCACACAGAATATTATCAGTCAAGTTAAAGCCACTAGGGCAACTGCCACTAGAAGAAAGAGTCTCCCATGGAAGGAAAAACTGGTGCCTGGTCAGGTTAGAGTGTTAGGCTTCTGCCAGTCTCAAGTCAAAGCCTGGCCATTGACTAAATGAGTGCTTGGGTCCCTGCCCAACTCCAAGATCAAAGATGCAATTCCTCCCCCTGGTTTAAGAATCTTGAATGTCCTTATGTGAGTAAAGGACCTCACAGGGGTGTCTGGGTTGTTGAACCCTAAAAGACGTGCAGGGGCCTCGCAGAAATAACACATGTAATTAAATTCTGACCCGTCCAGGGGATGCATATAAAGGTTGGTCACCCAGCATTCCAGGTCCTTGTGGTTGTCTTAGACAGCTGGGAGAGAAACTGAGACATGGTTCAAAAAAAACCCCAGCACATTTCTGACCCACTACATATGCCTACTCCTCTGGCCCAGATCCCAAGCAGGTTTTAATTGGAGAATCGTCTGCCTTTTTCTTCTGCTCTCTATCTCAGTCAGGTGAAATAGCATCCAGCCAAGACTGTTGCCCCCGTGGTCCAGATCCCACTAAGCTTAACTCCTCGGTCTCCATTTGTGCAGGCCTTTCTAGTAAGGGTCCTGGGTAAAAACTTTTAGGCAAGAGTTAAGATGGGAGAGGGGGAGGAACCAATTGTTTTCCACTCCTGGCATATGAGCATGGCCCTATCAGCCGTGGGCAAACTACGGATCCGGCCCGTTTGAAATGAATAAAACTAAAAAAAAAAAAAAGACCGTACCCTTTTATGTAATGATGTTTACTTTGAATTTATATTAGTTCACACAAACACTCCATCCATGCTTTTGTTCCGGCCCTCCGGTCCAGTTTAAGAACCCATTGTGGCCCTCGAGTCAAAAAGTTTGCCCACCCCTGCCCTAGATCTTCCCATCAGGCATAACAGGAGTTAATCACAGCCCTTAGCCACTTCTGCCACCACCTGGTAGAAGTTTTAGCCTTTTAGAGAATTTAGAGACACAGCTGTTAAGTTAGTCCATTAATTACTAGGTCACTTGCCTCTCGCCTTTATTGTGATTCTGTAAAATGGGCACCCACTCTCGGGAGTGTTCTTAAAAGTCTCATTTTCGCCATGTTTTTATTTCCCAGTCCATCATTTGAAATTTGGATAGGTGATCCATTTCCCACAATTTGGGGACGTATCCGGAACTTTTGTACCCATGGAGAGGGAAAGGTTGGTTTAAGCCCGGCAGTGGTTCTCAACCTTCCTAATGCCACGACCCTTTAATACAGTTCCTCATGTTGTGGTGACCCCCAACCATAAAATTATTTTCATTGCTACTTCATAACTGTAATTTTGCTACTGTTATGAATCATAATGTAAATATCTGATATGCAGGATGTATTTTCATTGTTCTCGACCCACAGGTTGAGAACTGCTGGTAAGGGGAGGTGCCCCACTCATTTTGGGGGGGCCTCTTGGCCTGAGCTTCATCTCTTCACGGATGCTATAGAATAGGCCTGAGACTGTTTTTCTTTGGAAGATGGCAAAAATGACACAAGGGGAATATACGCGAGGCAACCAGGCAAGCCACATGGCCAAAATAGTCCATTGGAAGAATGCTGAGGTTCTGGGGAAGGTCAGTCCCCAAACCAGGGATAAGAGACATTGTTTTTTTAATGGAGTGCTTTCTGTAGTGTCTGTGTGTTGTACGCACTTGTAAAATTGTGTATAAGAGTGTTTTTATTGATGTTTTCTGTTAATGTTTGAATCAATCTGTTTAAAGATGGGGCTCATCCCACTTTGCTGGGGGCCCAGCTGCTTGTGGACAGGCTGAACACGTGGCAGGATTTGAATTTTGAAAGACTTTTTGTCTGTAATGTAACCTTGGTTACTAATATTATTTGCTAGCTTAGTTTGCTCTTTGCTGTTTTTATAAACATGGGAAACCCTCTATGTGGGCTTTGTGCCACTCAGAACCAAAGGTCATTTTGCTGAGCTGGGTTAAAGTTTTAAGATTTTAAGACTAATTTGAAAGTGTACAATTTGTGAAGGTTAATATACATTAACCCACGGAAGTTTAAACAAAGGCCAGACCAATAGCTAATTTCAAGCCTGCCTGTAATTAACAAACCATTATCTTTCCCGCCTGAGGCAAAGCAGGAGGGTGGAAGGAAAAAAGAGTAGCTTTAAAAATGGCTTTTAGGTTTCAAAACGAAAAAACTGAGAGGCAGCACTTGCCAAACCCTAGCAGGCATTCTGGAAGGGGCAGAGTGGAGAAATTTGCAGAGCCCCGCCCCGAAGTGCATCCGTTAAACAGGATGGGTTGGTTGGCACCTGCCTGTGATGTCACAAACCCATGCAGGCTGGCTATTGGGCAGTCACAGCTTTGACACTTCTGCACCCTTGAGGGCAAGGCAGCAAAGAAATGGGCGGGCGGTAGGCGTGTCCTCCCAGGGTTTTCTCTACAATTCAAAGTATATTCTGTACTTCTATGGCATTACTAGAACATAACAATTTATTAGCCAGATTGAAAAGAGTTAATTCTGTGGTCAAGACCAAAATCTTTAATGTTAAAACCGATTTAAGCTTTGATAATCTTTAAAAGGGTACATTTGGCAGCTTTTCCAAGTGTAATATTTCAAGGATTTAACTGAGAGATAACTTTGTGACATCTCAAGGGCCCCAAGGTGACACAAAGATTTATTCTCTCTCCCTGAAAAAAAATATTTTTGAACTAAATTAGATTAATTCAATATATTTAAAATTTCATGAGGAAACTCTGCCAAATAAAAAAATTAATAGCAATATTCTATTTAAAATACATATACTTTGAAGGTTATAGAAATTTCAGCCTGCTTCAAAAAAGAACTTACACAAATTCAGAGCCAAGTTCAAACAGGAAACTTTTAGAAATAGCACATATCCAGTCAGGGACATAGGGTCAGCGTGCTAATTCTCTGTGTCTGTCAGTGACTTTCTGGGTGTTTTACATTTCATTTATTGAAATTTATAAACTGTTTTCAATGTTCACTACACTGTCTGCAATAAGCCATGTGTCACTCTTTATATACAAATTGTTTTTTGTACCAGAAGGTTGTTATCTCAGAATGTTAAAAAAGTAAATGTTTTATCAATTGCATTTTTAAAAAATCTATAACCATGCCACTTTTGAATTTTGTCATATTGGACAGTCATTGCTTTAATTTGGTGCATTCAAGTCTTTAGAAAAACCCATGGAAAAGACTCTGACTTATTCTAAATTGCAGGCTTCTAAGCAGGTCATATATTTGAACTAAAAGGGGTTTATAGAACTTCAGGGAATTACTAAAGTATATATAGAAGGTGGTACCTCCTTCTGAGGAGGAAACTGGTCTTGCAAGGCATGTCAGGCCATAAAAACTGAACAATGTGAAAGGGCGAGGGCTACGCCCTCCATCTTACCCTGGATCCTCCATTTTTGGGCAGCCATGTGCTCGGCAAGGAGCTTCTTCCCGGAAGCCCAAGCCTCTGCTAGCCACACCCAGGATTTCTTTAAACTAACCAATGACAATCAAGGGAAGTGCGCGCCATAGATATGACCACATCCTGTGTAACAAGACACCGACTTGTGCCTGGCCAATCGGCAGGGCTCACAGTCCTTTCTCCTCCCCTTACTCCA